TGCGCTAGAGGTTGGATGCATACTAGGATAGGGGGGTTCTATTATGGTGTAAGGGAGGGTGCAACTCAAGACAAATTTATGGTAAACCTATCTCCAAGGACTTGCAGCTGCAGAGCTTGGCAAGTGAGTGGCATTGTGGTTGCTGCTTGGAGCAACTCAGACAATCCTGAGCCATATGTGAATGATTATTTCACAAAGGCAACATACTTAAAGGAATATGAACATTTGTTAGAGCCTTTAAATGGACCTTAGGAATGGCATGTGAGTGCTGACATAGTGCTACCACCAAAGTTGAAAAAGATTCATCACAGGCCAAAGACAAAGAGAATGCTGTAGATAGGTGAGGTAACAACAACAGGAAATAGAGATTGTGATGACTTGCAGGGTCATAACTCTAGAGGTAGCAACAATACAAAAAAAAAAAAAAACTCAACTACTGCAACAACACCAATAGACACTGAGTTGCCAATGCATAGGGGGGGAGGGGTGGGCATTTACACTTACCCAAATGAGTTTTAGAGAGTTGCAACAGTAAAAAATTAAGTCTAGCTTTTGCTACTTTGTAATGACAAAACAACTTCCCAAATTAATTAGAATTTGATTTGCAGCAGGCTAGATCTAACCCACATCAGAGTGGTTCTACAGCTTCTCAGCCACAACCTGTTCAAAGGGCTTTCTACTCAGACTATGAAGGGGATCAGACTGTCTATTATTTCAACCATTCTTATCCCTTATCTAGCCAACAAAGCCAGCAAGACAGAACAACAATATCAACATAGGCATTGCAGGTAAATTAATTAAAGAAACTTCATTTATTTCTTTGCCAATAAACAACAACTGAGTCCATTTCCATTGCATTACAGTTTCTAGCAAAAGAGAGAAGGAACAACAAGTCTTAAGGTAGCATTCTAATCAACTACTACTTAACTACATAAAAATAAACACAACAATAGCAATTACAATAATGCACCACAGTTGCCCGCTGCAGGTACTTGTACCAGCCCTTTTGAACTTCATCAAAGTATTTTCTTCCCTCAAACTTCCTTCCATATTGGTTAGCTTCACATAGTTGTTTTCTCATGGCCATAATCTCATTTTTCAAACTTTCTTTTTCCCGCATCAAACATAATATCACCTTAGTCTACCAATCTGGTGGTTGGTCAACATCTACACCCACTTAAAATCTTGCAACCCCTTCTCTCTGTCTCTGCATCATAATCTGGACATGCAAGAAATCTTCTTCCAGGGTTGTCCAGGGTTGTCTTTTGCCCAAGCCCTAGTCCCGGACACAATTAAACCACAGTGATACCTCCTTGGGCTTAGGCTTGAGCTTGAGCTACCATATCCTAAGTTGAGTCTTGACATGCTAATCACTAATGGTTTTTTTTTTAGTTATTATTTTTTTATTTTCAGATTCTCTCAACAACACTAGAAGCACTAATATTTTGGAAATTACTCAAACAAGCAGATGATGGACCAAGCTGATATGCATAGTGATCTTTATATATTGTTTCATAACTTAGCTCATTGACTTGTAACGACTATTATTTTAAAAACTGATTTGCAATGCTTATTTTGCTACTTAATTGTACTCTGACAATTATTGAAATTAGTCTCAGACTTCAAGGAAAAAAAAAACCAAAAGTTAGTTAATAAATACTCTCCATTACCGGCTACAACAAGTTAAAGGTAGAGTACAAAGTTTAGTACTACTGCAACAAGTGAAAGTTGAGAACCTTATTTGCAATTTTTGTGATAGTTTAGTACCTACATTTGTGCTTAACTCCTTTGTGCAACAAAAAGTAGCAATAGTTTGATATCTATTACACTCTAACATCTAGGTAGCGAATAATCATTTGTCATGATAGTAGTTTACCATGTTGCAAAAATTGTCAATTTGGTTTTATATTCTCTAAAAACAATAGGTTCTTAAACTTTATATGACTTTATGAGATTGTTCATTTTTTTTATACGGTAAAATACGGGGAGTGCTTCTCCTATCAAGAGGGGTAATTGTTTCACATTGTCATTTGTTTATAACACTACGAGATTACGACTTACGAGTACCAAGTTTGTAATTTTCCTGGCCGTCATGATTTCATGCAATGGAAATAAGACATGGGTCTAATAGATATAGATATCCCTTTTACAGGACCTGTTTTTACTTGGACTAATGGGAGAATAGTGTCAGATCCTGCTTTTGAGAGATTAGACAAAGAATATGCTACATCGCTTTGGTTACAGGATAGGCCTTCTACTTTTGTTCAGCACCAACCTATTTTGTTTTCTGATCATGCAACTATTATTTTGAGTGATTCTTCTTCTACAGGTACTTGTAAACGACCATACCGAATTGAAAACTAGTGTCGGATCTGCTGATGTGGCAGATGTGGCAGACATGGTGAGGTCTATTTTTGCAATACATGTTCCGGGTTCTCGTATGTTTTCTTTATCTCGAAGGCTTTGTATTCTGCGTCATCGTTTGTTAGCCTGGTGTGTTACTCACAAGAAGATGTGGGGTATTGATAGGAAATCTTTGGTTGCTGATGTTTCTCAAGCGTCTGTTGTTCTTAACTCTCATTACGACCGTTGCCTTTTCCATACAGTGCGGATGGAGAAGATTGCTGAGGCCCAGACGACCTTTCTCTTTTGGAAACAATGAGCCAAATTGAAATGGGATGCGTTTGGTGATGAGCATACCCGATTACTTTTTTCGACTGTTCAAGCTCGGCGGAGGAAAAACTGTATTCTGGGTTTGCAAGATACTGACGGATCTTGGGTTTCGGATACGGGGGGTATTCGTTCAATTGCCTTGGGTTTCTACAAGGCTCTCTATAGTGGGGACTTGCAATGCCCATCCTCGGTTCAATCCTCTGTTTCTCAGTTTTCTTGGGAATCTCTTCATTTGCCATCTTTATCTGATACGCATCGCCAGTCCTTACTAGCTCCTTTCTCTGCTGATGATATTAAGAGGGCTATGTTTAGCATTGCAGACGACAAATCTCCAGGCCCGGACGGTTTTTCTTCAGAGTTTTTCAAAAGCTATTGGCATGAGGTAGGAAACCATGTGATCATGGTTGTTCAATTCTTTTTTGCTCATGGATATTTACTAAAGGACTGGAATCATACATTCTTGGTTTTAATCCCGAAGGTTGATCACCCTGAGTCTGTTTCTCAATTCCGTCCTATTGGCCTTTGTAATGTCGTCTATAAATGCACTACTAAATGTCTTTCTTATCGATTACGTGATGTGCTTCCAGATTTAGTCTCAGACTACCAGAATGCCTTTATTCCTGGTAGGCTAATGTCGGATAACTGTTTGATAATACATGAGTTGATTTCTTTCATGAATGCTTCCAGAGCCAAAAAACGTTTTATGCGGCACGGAAACTGGATATGAACAAAGCCTATGACAGGGTTAGTTGGGAGTTCTTATCCCGGGTGCTTCAGGTCTTCGGTTTTCCTCCCTATTGGATTAATTTAATCATGCAGTGTGTTTCTTTGGTGTCGTATCAAGTGCTAGTTAATGGTGCTCCTTCCCAGTCTTTCTATCCTCAGTGTGGTTTATGTCAAGGGGATCCTCTTTTTCCCTACCTGTTTGTTCTTTGCATGGAAGTGCTCTTTGCGATGCCGAGGAAAGCTGAGATGGAAGAGTTGTTTCATGGTGTCAAAATTTCGAGGGGAGCTCCATCTATATCATATTTGTTCTTCGCGGATGACTCTCTTTTGTTCTTCCAGGTTTTGTCTAGTGCCTGTGAACAGGTAATGAATATTCTTTCTGAGTTCTGTGCTATCTCGGGACAAATGCTTATTATGCAGAAATCTTTTGTAAAGTTTAGCCCTAATACTCTGGAGGATTATCGGGCATATTTTTCTAAGTGTTTACAGCTCCGGTTTGAATCACGATTTGGTACTTATCTGGGGCTTCCTGTCGATTTGGGTCGTAATAAGTGTTCCGAGTTTGGTTTTCTTGTAGATAAGGTGGTTAAACGCCTTGAGGTGTTTGCTGCAATGCACCTCTCCCCTGCGGCGAAGCTGATCATCATTAACTCGGTGCTCCTTGCCTCGTTCAATCATATTTTGTCTGTTTTTCAAATTCCAGAATCTATCTGCTCTCGGGTAGACAATTTATTAGCCAGGTTTTGGTGGAAATCTTCTCAATCGAGTCGTGGGATGGCTCTTTGTTCTTCTAAGTTGCTGCACCTTCCAAAGGGACTGGGGGGTTTGGGTATTCGTAGTCTTGCACCGTTTAATTCTGCTTTATTAGCAAAGCAAAGTTGGCGTCTCATTCATTCCCCGCAGTTGTTGGTTTCCCGTCTTCTATTTGCTAAATACCCTTCGTTGGCAGGGGGTGTTGCGTCTTCGATTTCTCGCCTTTCTTGGGGTTGTCGTGGTCTTCTCTCAGGAATGTCTGTTTTGTCTAAGGGTTTGGTTTGGAAGGTTGGTTCGGGTTCTCGGGTTCGTATTTTAGAGGATTCTTGGGCTCCTGGTGGACAGGTTCAGTTCAAGGATCTTCTGTTAGAGACGGTTAGACCGACTTTTGTATCTTCTTTACTTGATCCGCGTTCTTACGCGTTGGATACTTCAATTGTTCATAGATTGTTTGATTCTTCGTCGGCTGCTAGGATTCTTTCTTTGGATCGGCCGGGGAGGCTAAAGGATGATTTTGTATACTGGAAGTTCACCTGAGATTGGGTTTTCTCTACCAAATCAGCTTATGCCTTTCTTTTCCACTCCCCTATGACCCCTGGTTTTGATAGCCGGTTGACACCAACCTGGTGGCGGAGGTTTTGGCGGCTTCCTATTCTTCCTCGGTGGAAAGTGTTTGGTTGGAAACTGTTACATGATGCTCTTCCGATGGCATCCCTTCTGCATTCCCGAGGTTGTCCAGTTGACCCGGTTTGTGCCTTTTGCCATCAGGAGTGGGAAGAGGTGTCGCACACCTTTAGAGACTGCCCTGCTGTGAGATTCTTTATGGCGGTCGGGAACGTTGGGGGTTCGTTGGGATCTTTGGCAGTTCCTTCAATTCCGGGATTGGTTGGCTGACACTGTTTCTCGGTTTTATTCTCATAAATTTTGGAAGGGTATTATGACTTTAATTATTTGCTATCCTTTGGGCTATTTGGCTTTCTCGGAACCAATTAAGATTCAGACATGCGGTTTGGTCGCCCAGGACAATTGAAGCTTTGGCTGAGGATTGGTTCCACCGTTGTGTCCAGTCTCAAGATTGGAAGAAATCTGTGTAGGGATCCTGTTCGCCTGGTTCGCCTATGCTTTCAGGTGATCCATGGTTGTGTTTGAGGGGATTACCTGGCATAAGCCCCACAGTTTGTTTGATCATTGATGGAGCTTGGGATTGGTCCACTTGTAGGGTTGGGGCATGTTGAATTATCCGTGACCTTTATTCTTCGGAGGTTCTGGGTGGAGGTAGTAGGGCTTTTTTGTCTGGGTCGACATTACAGTCTGAGCTACAAGCTTGTTTATGGGGTCTTCAGGCGGTGGTTCGCAAAAGTTTCTTGAAGATTCGAATTCATTCTGATTGTGCGACCCTCCTTTCTTTGCTTCTAAATTCAGGTCAAATGGACATTTCGGTTTGGTGGCTCATTATGGAATTGCAGGCGGTTGTTGAGTCTTTTTTGGTGTGCCAAATTCGTAAAGTTCCTCGGTTCTGGGTTTCTCCGGCACATTGGTTAGCTAGTTGTGCTCGATGACGGCAGTTGTTGTTTTTTCATTTCTAGTTTTTTTCTTTTTATGTTGTAGTTTGTTTTTTTCTTCGATAGTTCTTTTGTCCAAAAAAAAAAAAAAAAAAAAAAATTGTAATTTTCCTTTTTTCTTCCGCAAAAGTTACGTCTTACGTGCTCTCTCTTTTCATCCTCGTTCCCCTCTCTATTTTTAAAGTTCTGAACTCTGGTCAGCACTTCGCTAACAATTCTCAGGTAAGGTAACGAAATGTAAACTACTCATATTTGAATTTTATCCCTAATTTTTCGACATTATTATCAACCTTAATTTTTTGGCAACAATTTCTGCATTTTATTTGATTATTCGTAAGTTCCGTAATTTAAGACAAGCATTAGCATGTATAATTTCGTTGTCAAAAGTATAGCAGTAATTACTTAATGCTGGGGATTTTGATGGAAATCGAATTTTATTTTCTGAGTTACCTATTTTGCAGGATTGAATTTTCATTTCCATTTTTGTAAATTTGTATTTTTTTTTGTTTATCAAATTGCAGGTATTTTTTTTTTGCTTGCAATAGCAAAGGAATTACATTTTCTTCAATTTCAATGTAATTTTATCATTGTATAGCGATTTTGTGATTCGTTTGGGAGACTTTTCGAATAACGTAAATAAGGCAGAAGTTTTTTCTTAATCATGGTGGAGACGAGGCCTTTCAAGACAAAATTATGTGTACTTTATGAGAAGGGTCGTTGTGGACGTGATACATGTACATTTGCTCATGGTGATCCCGAGCTTCGACGCTTTTCGGGTTCTTTTATGGGTAATTTCATTGTCTCTGATTCTGTATTCGTTTTATTTGGGTTATTTGGTGATTTTTGTGTTATGTGGTGGTTGATTATAATTTTGGTTTTTGTGTCTACTTGTGTGATTTTGCTACTGTTAGGATTAATTCCTACAATATACTTAATCTTCATATCAAATTAATCAGTAAAACATAATTGCGAAAGTTTACCTTATTCCATGTCAATTGATCGAACCCCTTCTTGATTATGCGTGTTCTAGTACACACACACTCTAGGGTTCTCTCTATTGATGGGATATAGGGATATAACTGAGAGTATATTGTATGTACTATTAGGGACCATAACCCTAGATGTCTATTTATATATATATAGACCCCTTCCCTAATTCGCCCATCATGCATTAGAAAAGGTCCAACGGTCTCTACACATAAAGCTAAACACATACTCTATAAAAGACGTAATAAACCCAATAATAATAAAACTTAAATGTATCACTTGAATTTTGGGCTAAATTACATGACAACGTATAAAGACAATCATCACCGTATAGTTCACATACATTATTATTGTATTTAGGTCCATAAATTTCTTACAATCTCTTACTTGGACTAAATACAATTACATGTTTGTGATTCTTGATGATTGCATTATACTTTATAACTTTATGAGCTCAAAATACTATCATTTCCAAACGTCTTTAAACAATTCGGTCCATCAATTATATATTAACATAGAGTCAAAGCAGTCTAAGCTACAATAACGTAACTAGACTCATCAATGGCCACAATGTTAACACAATCAACAACATGAATCAATCATAGGTGTGTAGCATGGAAATAACATAAATGTGATCCAAAATGTCTATTTCCAACCGGTCCACTTTAAACTTTAGCAAGATCACGATATGATCTAATAGAAGAGTAAACCAAACTAAACACTTTATTTCTGCAGAAATACTTAAAATCACAATATTCAAAACATGTTTATGTCATACAAGCAATAAGATAACAAACTCCCACTGAAACTATATATCCTTAGGTGGCATGACACTCATATGAGCAGTGTGCTCATGAAATACTTTGGGTGGTAAACCCTTAGTAAGCGGATCCGCAATCATGGAGCTTGTGCTAATATGCTCTAAGTACAATTGTTTACTCTCTACTCTTTCCTTCAAAACTCTAAACTTGACATCAATATGCTTTGATTTTGACAAATTTTGACAAGCTTTTGTTATTGTTGGCATATAATACTGCTGACGTGTTGTCACATAGCAATTTGAGTGGTATATCAATACCATTCACTATGCGTAGACTTGTGACAAAATTCCTTAACCATAATGCATGGTTGGATGCCTCATAACAAGCTATGAATTCTGCTTCTATGGTGGAAGTAACTCTAAGAGTTTGTTTGACACTTTTGCAAGAGACAACTCCTCTAGCTACGACAAAGATGTTGCCACATGGGGATTTCAGGCTATCTTGACATCCATCAAAGTCAGAATCTGTGTATCCAATGATCTCAAGTTGATTTGACATTCAAGTGAGCATGTAATCCTTTGTTCTCTTCAAATACCGCATAACCCTCTTTACTGCTTTCAATTATCAAGTCCTGGATTGTTTAGGTATTTGCCCAACATTCCAACAATGTATGCAATATCTGGACGGGTACAAACTTGAGCGTACATAAGGCTCCCTATAGCTGATGCATAAGGGATCTTCTTCATTTCTTTATTGTCAAAGTTATTCTTTGGGCATTGAGTGAGACTGAACTTGTCTCCCTTAGCCACATGGGTATCACTTGGTTTACAGTCTTGCTTGCCAAACCTTTTCAAAACTTTTTCGATATAGCCCTTTTGTGACAATCCAAGAGTGCTTAGATGACGATCTCGATGGATTTGTATCCCTAACACAAAAGAGGCGTCCCAAGATCTTTCATCTCAAAGTGATTTGATAGAAATCTCTTGGTTTTGTGCAAATAACCTATATCGTTGCCGACAAGCTATATGTCATCAACATATAAAACCAGGAAAACATGCTTACTCCCATTGAACTTATGGTACACACAATCATCAACTGCATTTGTCTCAAAACCATGAGACATAACAACTTGATGAAACTTAAAGTACCATTGATGAGAAGCTTGTTTGAGTCCATAGATGGATTTCTTTAATTTGCAAACCATTTTCTTTGAGTCCATAGATGGATTTCTTTAATTTGCAAACCATTTTCTTTGAGTCTCCCGAAACAAAGTTTTTTGGTTGCTGCATATTGATGGTTTCCTCAATGTCACCATTGAGAAATGCTGTCTTAACATCCATCTGATGTAACTCAAGATCATAATATGCTACAAGTGCCATCATAATCATAAAGGAGTCTTTAGAAGAAACTGGTGAATAAGTTTCCTTATAATCAATGCCTTCCTTTTGAGTATAGCCCTTAGTGACAAGACGAGCCTTACGCCTTATCACATTGCCATTTGAATCCCTTTTGGTCTTAAAAATCCATTTACAACCAATGGGTTTCACACCTTTTGGCAATGAAACAAGGACCCAAACGTCATTGTCCATCATGGACTTAATTTCGTCATTCATGGCATCAATCCACTCTTGAAAGTTAGGGCCTTCAATGGCTTGGCGAACGGTGATTAGATTATCATCCACCATTTCATTATCCAACTTCTGTTCTTGCAACAAATTCTTCGCTAATTTGATTGTTATCCTCCTGGGAGAAAAACAATGTAGTCATCTGAAATTGCACTTCTTCTTTCTCTAGTGGATCTACTTAATGGCACTGGTTCTTGAAGTTGTTGAGTTTTTTCATCATGAATTTCCTGTTTTGAATAGGGGAATCATTTCGAGTTTCTTGAGTTGTACCTTCAATCATGCCAGGTTTGGATGTCTAATCATGATTGATAACAACTGAAGGAAGATAAACTTGTTCCTCTTCGAAAATAAACTCTTTAACCTTAGCTTCCCCTCAAAACTCAACATCTTCAAAAAAATCTAGCATTCCCCGTCTCAAAAATTGATCTAGTTGTGGGATCATAAAATTTATACCCCTTAGACCTTTCAGGGTACCCAACAAAGTGTTGCCTTAACTAGAGAACCCCAAATGTGTAGATGTGTTATACTGGGTTACCAGTCCATAGTTCATAAGGGGTTTTAGAAGCTACCTTAGTTGGTACTCTATTGAGAATATAAGTTGCGGTCTTAATTGCCTCTCCCGGAGGATTCTGGTAAGGTAGAGTGACTAACCATACTCCTTACCATCTCCTGTAATGTTTTATTGCGCCTCTCGCTACACCATTCATTTGAAGTAATCCTAGCATGGTGTATTGAGGGACAATTCCACATTCCTCTAGGAATTTGGCAAATGGCCCTGGACGTTGTCACCAGATCCGTCATTTCTGCCATAGTATTCACCACCACGGTCAATCTGACCTTCTTAATTGTTTTCCCAAGATTTTCAACTTCAGCTTTATAAGATTTCCAATGCTTGGGTTTTCTCATGAGTCAAATATAGGTAGCCATAACGAGAATAATTGTCTATGAACGTAATAAAGTATTGTTGACCATTCCAAGAAGCTGAAGGAAATGGTCCACAAATGTCCGTATGTATTAGTTCTACGACATATGAAGCTCGTTCGGCTCCTAATTTCCTTTTGTCTGTTTGTTTCCCTTTGATACAATTAATGCATACATCAAAATTTGAAAAATCAAGGGAATTAAGAATTCCATCTGACACAAGTCTTTGAATTCTTTGTTTAGAAATATGTCCTAAACGTTTGTGCCAAAGTGATGAAGAATTCTCATTTGCTAATTTTCTTTTGGTACCACTAGAATTGACTTGCAAACTTTCCTTAGATGAAGCAACAATATCCAACAAATATAGGTTGTCAAATCCAGATAAAGAACCAGATCCAACTAACTTTGAATTATGAAAAGACTAACTTTATTGTTTCCAAAAGATCAAAGATATCAGATTTGTCCAATGTAGGAACATAAATTAATTTCCGCCTAAAAGACGGTACAACAAAAGTCTCTTTTAAATCCAAATAATATTCAGGCAACCCTTCATGGACACACTTATGTGAGTAGTAGCACCAGAATCTAGCCACCAAGTGTGTTTAGGTACCGAAATTAAATTAACCTGTGAATAGACAAAAGAAAGAAACATTCCCTTTTTCGCACGCCGTGCGTGGTACTTAGTGCATTGTTTCTTCTCGTGAGTCATCCTACCACAGAAGAAGCATCCAGATGCTTTTGATTCAGCCTTCTCTTCCTTATGTTGCTTCTTTTGTGGTTGCAAAACCGCATCCTTACCCTTCTTCCTTTTGTTGCCATCCTTAGAGGAAGATGCCAAGTGAACACTTTCTGTCTTTTCTTGCTTCAATTTCTCTTCTGCTTGAACACAATGAGAAATGAGCTCATTTAGAGTTCATTTCTCCTTTTGACAGTTATAACTGACCTTAAACTGACTAAACTGTTTAGGAAGAGATATCAAAACCAAATGCACGAGCAAGTCATTAGACATGGGCGTAGAATGGGGAGTGCAAAGTGCTCCCTAGCACAGGCCCCCGAGGACCTATTTTTTTTTTCAATTCTTATTTAATTTTTTTAAAATGCTGCAACTTTCAAGAGCCTCCTTATTTGTAATGTACATCATATTCCCTCTATTAATCCAAGCTCCCATATCAATTTCTAACACTTTTCATATTCTTCTATCATTTCAAATTAGTATTTTCACAATTACATCGATTCAATTCCATGAAACTGTAATGTATATTTCCCCATTCCACAATTTTCGATGTAAAAAAGTTAATTTCAGCGAAATTAAAAATTAAACGATTCGTATTCCGTAAAAACGGCAAAACATTTAAGCAATTAATTTTAATTTTTCATAATTATTCTTATCAAGCTGCTAAATATCTTCCCAATATATAAGGGTTATCTAATTGTGTATGGCGTAAATAATAGGTTAAAAATTTAAATTTTGTATGTTTTCAAATTATTAAGGGCTTATGTTTTCAATTTAGAACAGGCCCCCCAAAAACATTGCAACGGCCCTGACAGGCACACAACTCTAACTTTAGTGCCTTCAATTTTGAAGCAATATGGGACATTTCCATAATGTACTCCCTTATGTTCCCTGTTCCTTTATACTTTTGGGAAACAAGACTACTCAAGAGAGTGCTTAATTCCGCCTTTTCGTTTTTAGCAAAACGTTTTTCAACGATTTGGCATTATTCTCTTCGGACGTCGTGCCCGTGAATGATTTCGGAATTGCATGTTTCATGATCATAAGACTCATGCGATTTGAGCGTTCCCACTTCTCCATATTCCCCTTTTCAATAGAGGAACTAGAATCCGTAAGAGCAGTAGGACGCTCAACCCGAAGATCAAGGTTTAGATCCATGCAACCGAGAATGATCATAACGTTCTCTTTCCAATTCTTAAAGTTTGTCCCATCAAGCATTATTGTATTGTATTAATGTTGACAGATATCACATTAGCAGAAGTATTCACCGAAAAGAACACAAACAAACAAAACAAGCTCACAATTGATTCCAAAATTCAACTTTAATAATCAGATTAAAATATTGACAACATATCCCATCACAAGAGACCTAGCACAACATTAATTTTTTAGTCTTTGGACTGAAAAATTAACTTGTAAGTGGTCCTCTTGGTGTAGTAATCAAATATTAACAATAAAATCCTGTCAAACATTCCTTTCTTTGGACCGACTCAACATTCACAGGGAAAACCTTATAATTGTTACATATTTATCAACACAAGCAATGTTTAATTTCCGGCCAAATAATAACCTTCCTTTGGGTCGACCATTAATCGCATGAAAATCAAACACACACATATCTCAATATTTCAAATAAATTAATCTACTCAAAAGAGGTTACTTTGGTAACATATTATTTCAATTAATAAACCCAAAATATGAGACACATTATTATTTTTTTTACCTTATTGTCAAATATTATAATCTGATTTTAACCTCAATACATAGTAATCATGCAATTATATTGATTTTCTTGATTAACTCATGATCAATATCGAAATCAAGAAAGTTGCGACAAGTACTAGCATTCAATTTAAGAATACAATTTGATTCTACAATATATATGACAAGTCATGGAAGCAGGAGCATATAAAACATACATGATTATAAAAGCTTTGATGAATAATCAATTACTACGATCAAACCATCATTCATCAAAATCATATTTCATATAGGACGAATTAACCGAAAGGAAACCATATACAATTATCATACTTCGAAAATTCACGAATAAGATAACATGCGACATGAATTTAATAGTTAAACAAGTCGCAACAGATTTCAACATAAATCGCATAACATCATACGATTAAACCAAAACTATCATATTTAAATTATCCGACTAATCTAATATGAAGGAGGCTCATAATTCCACTTGTTAGGATTAATTCCTACAATATACTTAATCTTCATATCAAATTAATCGGTAAAACATAATTGCGGAAGTGTACCTGATTCCATGTCAATTGATCGAACCCCTTCTTGATTATGTGTCTTCTAGTAGATACACACTTTAGGGTTTCTCTCTATTGATGGGATAGGGATATAACTGGGAGTCTATTGTGTGTACTACTATCGAACGATCATCTCCCGTCTTCCTTCCGGCTTAGGGACCATAACCCTAGATGTCTATTTATCATGCATTAGAAAAGGTCCAACGGTCTCTACACATAAAGCTAAACCCATACTCTATAAAAGACGTAACAAGCCCAATAATAATAATTACTTAAATGGATCACTTGAATTTTGGGCTAAACTACATGACAACGTATAAAGTCAATCATCACCGTAAAGTCCACATTCATTATTATTGTATTTAGGTCCATAAATTTCTTACAGCTACTGATTATGAAATTATTGGCTTAGCATTGTTTAGGGTTTGATGTATTTATGATGGTTTCTGCTTGATTTACATGATTTATTTAACAGTGTGAATTCAGCAGGCAATTTCTTAGCCAGCAAAGGCAGCAATAGTGCCTATATTTAAGAACTTTTGTTGTTGGTAACTAGTTTACTTAATACGAAGAAGATGAATATGTCCATTTAGGTAAAGGCTGTCATATAACATAGACACTCACTGATTTTGTTTAATTCAATGCTGAAGATTTAGAGGCTACTATCCGTATGCTTTGTAATGTTGGTGATATGCATAGATAGACATGGGGATCTTAATGGGACGGGCAGGGCAGATGTTATCTTTCGCATCCCCATCCCTGCCTAACATTCTCATCCCCATCCCCATGGCGGGTCCAAATTTCATACCCATCCCCGCCCATGTGGGTACAAATCTAAAACCATTGTTCAATTATCTTGGGATGGAGGGTGTATTCAATTAACGAATTGCTTGTATCACTCTTGGCTTTGAATGAATTGAATCTAATATTATGATTATGAATACATTTCTTTTATAATCTGCTGCATCAGTATAGTTGACACTGGATATTTAGCATATCCAAAGGGCCCTGTTCTAATCGAGTCTGGTTATGGAAGTAATAAAAAATTTGCTTTCCTAAGGTTTGCCATATTACAGTAGCAGGAACTGCTGTTGGTAAAATCAGTAGCTTCAGCTGATGGTTTTAGGTTCAATGAAATGAATTGGCATGTATAGATGATTCTAAAGAGATGAAAATGATGGTATTGACTATTCAAGCTTATGAACTTGAAATTTGAGCTGCAATACAAAGGAATATGGAATTTGCATTACACTACGAGTATACGAAAGATAGTACAAGCGTTCTTGAGGCTTGTTCTCTTCCTAAGGTGTTTCCATTCTTTAACAATGTTCAGCCTCACCATCTATCCCTAATCATCGCTTATATATAGTCTAATTTTACTGCTAGCTTTCTCCCCAAGACTGCAAGCTAATCCTAACCAATCTTATTATGCATTACCTATAATGCCCCTCCTCTTAAGTCGGTTCATTACACTCAAGTACTCAACTATTTTTGGGTTTTACATTTCTAAGGCTGAATGTGTATTTGATTTCTGGATAGTTTTAGGTTTTATTTGTCCCTGGTCATGAATCTTAACCGAGTGATGTTTGAAGGGCCATTATATGTATATTATTCTTGAAATGGAAAGTTTTTAGAATGATTCTCTAATTAGTATGTCATTTATTGTCATGGAAGTTCATGGTAATTATTCCAGCGGCGTTGACTTTGTAGTGAGCTGGACTGAGCTCCTAAAGGCCCCCCCCCTCTAAAAAGGAGAAAGACTTGTGAAAGTTGCTCGATATCTTTATTGTTATTGTCTTAATGGATGGCACCTAGAAGAATTCTACTTCGCTGATTATTTAGTTCGCTTCTTCTCCAGATATGGGCATCCATCTGTCCTTTATCCTATATCTTTGATGCATTACATTTTTGCTTCATATAAGGCTGTATGCACAAACTTAGGATTATTGTATGTATATATTTTATGCTGGTGATACATCTGTAACACCATTGGCAATGCATGGACACAATATATCTGTTTATGATTGTGTTTCTTATCATAGTGGGAGGGTAAGGTTAGCTTTACAACAATTCATAACACTTTTATTCAAAAGGGAGATATATATTGCCAAAATCTTCTGTTCTGCACTCTGAAAGTTCTACTTTTGCAATTCCAGATAGGCCAATCAACAGGGATAATGACTTAAGGAGTAAGCTTGACAGGAAGCGTTCTCCACGTCATAAGTCTTCCCCTAGAAGAGATGCAACAGGATCACGAGCGTATAAAAGTAAGTATGACTATTTTCAGTATCTTCAATATTGATATATTTGGTTTACACATATATCAATTAGTATTTTTTTAAATGGTTTATCACGGTGCTTAATATTAATGGCAATGCCATCCTTTCTGTTTACTTATAGGTTTATTTTTCCAATGTCAAATCTTTTGCAGGGTTTAGTCCATCACAACTGAGTAAAAGAAGGTAATTTTAAGAATTCTTTGCCCCTTGTCTGGTTTGGGTGAGGGGTGTACTTGTCTAACACTTCAATTTATTTAGGTTATGATTTTAATATGTTAATATAAACTATACCCATAGTATGCATTTGCTTTATAATTGGGGGGATATCTCTAAGTTTGAAAAGCTGGTGTAGAAAAATCTTTTGAAGCTCACAAGTTATGTATACTTCAAGGCACATTATCACTACTTTTCTTGTCTGATATGCAAGCACTGAGATGTGGTTATCCTGAGAATATTTGAAGTCTCTTATATTGTGTTTATCTATTGCATATTGCCTCTGGGGGTATTATCGCTACAACTAAAACACCACACAATGTGGATCGCACCATTTGTGGTCTGTGATGGTCAATATATGTGCAACCTTTTGGTGGGTCAGAGAACTGATGCAAATGCCTTTAGTTTTCTTTTATTTTTTTTCACCCTCTGTTTTGCCTCATAGTCTTGCTTGCATACACAAATGGGCTACTTTTTTTTTGCCCCCTTCCCCCTCTTTATTTTTTGGTGCAGTACCTCTGATATGAGTCAGCAATCTTATCAGAATGGCCAGCTTTGACTTGCCTAGGTGAATAGTTAAAGCAACATTATATCATTATATATAACATATGAAAATGTTCTTTGCTTCATCTATTCTTCCAAACAAATTGAAATGGTTCATTTTCTCATTGTTCAAGAATTGTGCTACCAAATATAGGCTAGCATGTTTAACAACTTAATAACAACTGCAAATATCAAGGAGTTTTGTAGAGGAAGCAGCTGTGATTATTTAGTCGTTTTCTGATTAAATGGACTAGCAATTATAACTTTTTTTCTAACAGCTTACACTAATATGCAGTTATGGATTGATTATTGAGATGAATGTTTAATGGTTATGTTAAATTGGCAGAATTAATCCCTTCTTATCCTACATTTTTTGGCCATCCCAAACTCACAAATAATGCCACACTTAATTCCTTTCATATCCCCTTTACACTCAAGTATTCCCAAATCCAATTTTTTCATATCATCATAAGGTTCTTTCTTATTTTCTGCAAACATATTTACAGTTTTCCTCAATGACTTAGGAATCAAGATAAATTACATACAATAATGTATGTAAAATAGTTTTTATTTTTAGCATTGTTTAATCAACCCTACTATCCAATGATGGGGAACATGACATTTTTTTCAAATCCTAAATTGCTAATTTAATGAACCAAACTTGACAAATATTTTTCTACCCATTTTGATATGAGTTGATGGGTGAAAACTTCCTTAGGGTTTTAGTATACTGCAGCATGAATCCTCCAAGTGTAAGGCCTAGGATCGGTCCATTATGGGTTCCCGTTTTCTTATCTTACATTTTTTTGCCTTCCTCAAACTTTCAAATAATTTGATACCCAATCTTCCATAGTCAAGTACTCCAATTCCTAATTCTTTTCATATCTTTTAAAGGTTCTTTTTTGGTAAATTACGCAAACCTATATCTACAATTTTTCTCAATTTCTTAGGAATCAAGAGAAATTATATACAGTTTTGTATGTGAAATAGTTTTTATTGTTAGAATTATTTAATCACCCGTGTCGTCCATTGGTGGGGAGCATGGCATTGTTTTAAATCCTAAATTGCTAATTTAATGAAACAAACTTCTCAAATAGTTTGCTACCCTCTTTAGTTTGAGTGGGTGAAGACTTCTTTAGGTTTTTGGTGTAATGCGGCGATAATCCTATGAGAAAAAAGGGAATAAAAAGCCTCATTAAGGCCTAAAATCGGTCCATTCTGGGTTCAATCATGGCCACCTAACCCCCTCCCCTCGCATATAGCTAAAGTGTCGACTGACATCTACTATTGGTTGTCATTGCAATTTTTTTGTTTTTATTTTGAGAAGTTCATATTTTTGGAAAGAACGTATAAGATATAAGAGGAAATGCGGAATTAAAAATAGGAATACCAAATGAACTTATAGGCAAGGTATAGTTATGAGGATCATAAAAGAGTACTCACAACGCAAAGTCTTTTCTTTTAGTTCTTGTTAAACCTTTTTAGAGTTTTCTTTTTCTTTTATTTTTATTTTCACTTTTAATTTTTTTGAAAATTTTTTATAAGTTAAACCTGTTTGGCTGCTACTCGACTCGTGTACCCATGTGTGACACGGTTACATGTCCAAGTGTCCAGCTCGGCTATTTTGTAAAAAAAATTATATGATTTTGAACTAAGATGAAGTGTCCAAGTGTCATACCCATAACCCATGTCCGAGTGTTGAGAGTTCGACACGGGTACTTGAGGTAAATTGAAGAGTCTGAGTAACTGGTAAACTAATCTATTTTATCTATGTAATAAATCGCATGACCTAAGCTTTTCGTGAATATTTCCTAAATTCTAACTCATATGCTACATTATCTTGTTTCTTGTATGGAAAGGGAGTAACGATTCTATAGAATGTATTATTTTTGATCTGTAGCTTCTTCTTATTTAGTCGCAATGTCTCACGAATGGAATAAATTGTAGTTTTTGAGCTGCATAGATATTCAGAAGCAAAAATCTAAAGGTTATTATTCTTCTCCTGTCCAAGAATTGGAAAATATATTCATTAGTCTTATGTCACAGTTGACTGGTTGTTATTTGACATGACATGGTACATGGAGAGTTGTCAGTTTCTGAGGTTCTGGGCCTATGCCATTCTGCTGCTGCTTTGTATAAGACTAGCTTATCTCTTCCCAAATTTTGCAGTTGATCAACAACTAACTAGCTGTAGTCTTAGACTCTTAGTAAATTTGATAGAGATTTTGTTAGGCATTGCAGGCTTATAGTCCTAATTACTAATTCTTTGTTTTTTAATTAAACTGTTTGGCAATCGCGTATTGTTCAAAGACCTTGTATTTATTGCATTTTGTCTTTCAGATTAATAATATAGTGATGTTGATGTCTCAATATCAGTTTTCAAGTATTTACATGATGGTCAATTAAGCTTATTTAATTTTTTGATTTTATAATGATAGAAAATTAACGACACATGAGCATGAGGATGGTCAAAATAAAATTTCTGGGGGTTTCAAATGTCAAAATGGGTCAGCAGAAAGCGAGAAGGACAAACTTCATATCTTATCTAATTCCAGAAACGTGGTTGAGGATGAGGTATAAAGGGCTTTGCTTGCACTGTGTCTTTTTTCTTGTTGCTCATGCATTTCATTTTCCAAGTTGAGTATTTTACTCATATGGCATGGTCTCAAATGTCTTGCAGCTTACACAACTTGAGTATGAAGTTGATGTGCTATTTAACCAAAAAAGTCAGATGGAGGTTAGTTTTATCTCTATATACTTAATTTGGTAAATATTTGCTGAAGTTTCCTTAACTTAATGTTGGGTTTGTTAAATCTTTATTCTGAATATTGCAATAGCATGTGCTCTTGTGAGGATTGCATATGATAATTTATGTAAAGATTGTAAACAATAAGTTTAATCATTATTGAAAATCAAGCACTTGGGTAGTAGCTATGGTGGTGGTGGCCTTGGGGTAAAGGGGAAGGTGGTAGTCTTAGTTGTTTAGTTTGGGAGAGGATTGTTTGGAATTGCAATTCCAAGTCCTAGTCCTGAGTTTCATCCCAATCCATTATTCCAAGTCCTAGTCCTGAGTTTCACCCCAATCCATTAGAAACCATGCAAGTGAGTTGAAGCATGCGGTGGTCCAAAAATAAGCAAGCCAAATAACTAAGGTAGTAGTAACCAAACAACAAACTACGAGGCTTGATTAAAAGTTAAATGGAGATGCAACTTTAAAACAAAAGAGCAACATAGGGCAGAGTAGCCATGTAGTGAATAGATTAGTTTTTGTGAACTTGCAAGATAGGCAATGACTATTTGTAATAATAAATAAATGTGACAAAGCCTAGCACCATTTCTAGGGAATATATAGCAACTGAGTGAACCATTTTTTTTTTCTATCGAAATATGACTTATCTTACCTGTACAATCCAATTATTTCTAACACAAAGTAGCACTCAAAAGCTGAAAATAAAATTCGAAAATTAACATGCTATCAACAAACACAAGCAATTATCCCACAAAATCACAAATTAAAATAAAAAAATCACAATATTTAAATCTTACATTGATTAGAAAGAGGCATGTTTTCTATGTCATTCAAAATATTATTGGCAGAGTCCCATGTACGCAACTCTTGAAATGAAGGGTTTTCAAATCCCGACACTTGTTAATGACATTCATTCTAGATTTCTAGGAAATGTAGATTCCAGGATTCCAGGATTTCTACCTTTTCAAACAACATAGCATAGTTAACTTCTTGGAAGTAAGCCCTAGAAATTAATTCTTGAAATGCTCACTAGTTTTAATATATTCCAATTAATAAACTCAATAATTTTCATTAAACTTGCCCTATTAAGGGTGTTATGAGGCGTATGATTGCACCATCTGTCTAGATATGATAAAAAAATCTTTACAAATAGGTTATAACACGTCAAATGTATCATCAAGATAGAAAGAAATTCTACATATAATATCAAATATTTTAATAATATCAATAAAAAAAATCAAATATATATAAAAAGTATCAATTAAAATTATAAAAATTCGTGATAGTAGATTTCATTATTTGTATATTTCCATATATAATGGGGAAAAATTGTGCATAAATCATATAGTAATATGAAAAAACATGAAATGAAATTTGTTTCATTGATTAATAACCTAAATTATCAAAAAAATTATTTTCAATTCATGTTTTTGCAACTTTTTAGAAGATTTATGATCGATTTTTTTCCCCATTTCATATAAAATAATTAAAGTCTGCAATCACAAATTTTAATAGTTTTACTTTATTTTCTTGACATATTTGATTTTCTTAATTGATATTGTTGACATATTTGATTTTAATTGTAGAATTTATTTGTATTATGATAGTCTTGTCATTTAATAAGTGTTATTCTACTTTTATAAATTTTGTCATGTTTGGGTATACTTCTATGTGAATCAAGCAATCAAAGTCTTAGTCTCATAAGTAGGGTCAGCTACATGAACCAAATTTGATTCTTGTAGTCGACAAAAATCTTCCTCCTCCATCCCTGACTCTGTAAGCATACACCTAAAAAGGGCAAGTTTTATAGAATTTGTTGAGTTGATTGACTATAATTCACTGAAACTATTGAGCATTTCTAGAAATAATTGCTAGGGTAGTCATACTATGCTGTTTGGAAGGGTAGAAATCTTGAAATCTACTAGTCCTAGATTGAATGTCATAAACAAGTGTCGGGATTAGAAAATTCTTCATTTAAAGGGTTTCATTCTTGGAAAGCTGCCACTACTTTTAATGACATTGAGGATGGCCTCGTTTATGTGTAAGATTCCGTAATTTTTTTTTTTAAAAAATTTTTGGCTTGTGATTCATGGTTTCTTATTTTGGTTTGTGACTTTGTGGGATAATTGCTTGTGTTTGTTGATAGCATGTTAATTTTCGGATTATATTTTCAACTTTTGAGTGCTAATTCATGTTTTGGCTTAATTGGATTAGGCAACTAATATAAGTCAAATTCCAATAGAATAAACACATGGTTTGTTGGGTCGCTATCTACTCCGTAGAAATGATGCTAGGCTTTGTGACTCACTTTGATTTAGCCATTGCCTATTTGCAAGTTTACAAAACGTATCTATTCTGCTGCTACATGGCAGCCAGTTGCTAAATCTACTTTGTATTTTCTCCTATGTTGTTTTTCTGTTTTGAATTATATTTCCATTCAACTTTAGATCTAGCTTTGGAGTTTGTGTTGTTTGTTTACTACTGCTTTTGCCATTTGGCTTGCTGGTATTTGGACCATCGCATGGTTCACTTCACTTGAATGCTTGGTTTCTAATGGTTACATTATAACAAGCTATTGGCTTGAACTTGTAATTTAGCATTCCGTGATATAAGTAAATCTCTATGTTGTGTTGGGAAAAAAGGTTACATTGGGTTTGTGTTCACTTCATATGGTACCAAGGACTGCTATTGCTATCTACTTAGTTCCTCAGAGAGGTGCCTTTAAAGATTCTTACTTGGAGAGGTGCCAAAATTTAGAGCATCTTTCTTTGAAATAAGCTCTTAGAAATTCAATTGGCCTACTACATTGAGAAGCAGCAGGATACCCCCATCATCGTCAAAGGAAAAATCTGTTTCTGAGCTTTTGGGAGAGCTGGGTGAGAGAAGCAAACAGCTTCTCTTCTAGGATTAGAAATCTTGTTGCTATACTACCACTGTTATTTATTTTTAGTGCCATGATTAATTCATGCAATCTGAATAGAAGCTAAGCATTAAGCCTTTGCTTGCAGATTGCATTCCAGGAGAGGGTACAAGAAGCAGATAATTTGTCTTCTAGGATTAGGGATCTCGAGGCTCAATTGTGTGATGAAAAGGAAAAATCTAAAAAGTAACTCTTTGCTCTGAATCCTTCTAATCCTAATTTAAATTCCTGTTCTGCTTCTGAATTGTTGATTTATAATAATGAGCATTACTCTTGTCTGTTTGGTGATGATTTTTTCAGAGTTAATTCAAAAATCAAGAAGCTCATTAGGGCACATGCTCATCACTCTCAGCTGCAAGATGAACTGAAGAGGCAAGTTTATTTTGCAATGTGCTATTGCGTAATTTTATGTGTATGCCAGTGGGTATTTGATAGAGCGTCACCAATCTTCCAAAGAATAACCTAAACTGGTCTAACTAATTAGCAGTAAGGTAAAGAATGGGTTGAATTTATGAGAAATGTTGAATCAACCAACAAACGCTATTGTTCTAATAAGCTTAGTTAAGCTGTGTGTTAAAAGGAGATTTTATACGAACTACTCAACTACTAATCTAAGCAAATTAAGACTAAAAATGGGAATTATAATGGCAACAAGGTTTAAGGTAAGGGCTGCACCATTCAATATGATCGCAAAATTGCAATTAAACACGAGGGAAATAGGACTTTAGGGGATAGATTAGGGAGAATCATCTAAATCACCCAAACTATTCTATCAAGCTAGTTGGAAGCCTTAATTTTGAATTACAACTTATATTCATGGTCACAATGCATAATTCCACGCAAAAAAACTTAATCATGTTTGATAATAACATTCCCTTTGACTAGAAAATTCTCAGTTTGTTTAGTTAAATAACCTTAAGGGAGCCTAATACTCAATTTCATCTTTCGATCCTTTGTTGAGGGAGACTTAGAATAAAATTTAAATGGTGATCAATCATAATAACTAATTATGAAAATCCCTTAAGCTCATCTAATTAGCAACCCCATGAGCTAAATCCCTACATGCTATTAAGTGTTTGTGATTACATTTAAGGTTTTACGGTTTTACCTATTAATATTTAATAGCTCACAGTCCATGGAAATCGCCACAATCAACAAGTTTAAGCAAATCATGAGTAAATATAAGGATAAATTATTTAATAAAAAGAAGTAGTAAGGAACTAATAAAAACAACAAACAACTAACAATTAGCTGAGAGGGAGAAAGAAAGATAGAGAAAAGAAACATTACTTGGAAGTTGGAACTACTAACCATAAAAATTAACTTCCCCTACAAAATGAGCCAAAGGGGCCAATTTATCTCCCCCAAATTATCTAGGAACCTTACACTTTATTTGGATTGAAGGAAATGGAGGGAAAGGAAGTGGAGGGAAATGGAGAGATGAATTATTTTTCATTTGGTTAACAAATGAGTGAAGAAAGAAATTGGAGGTATTAAATTGTAAGAAATTGATCTCTCCAACAATGGAGAGATTTAGATGGAAAACTCATCAATCTTCTCTCCCCTCCCCCTCCCTTCCCATCCCTTCCCCTTTCTCTATCCAAACACACTGTTAGTCAAAATAATCTCTGGAGAACAAAGGTGCAGCCGCTCCATACATTTGGGCAGCATCTTCAGCAAAGAATAGGTGAGTTGGCTCCTCAAATGCAGAGAGGTCGCTCCTATAAAACTCTCCTCGGCTGCAAGGGGAAGGTAGGTAACTCTGCAGAATGTGGAAGAGGCCACACCTTGATAGAGAGTTGAGACCACTCCTAACAGGTGGTGAGGCCACACCTCTGGTGAACAGAAACAATTCAGAATATTGAGAGCCCTTGCATGCTTATTTCAGCTACATGTTATAATGTTTTTAATGCCTGTTGGAGAGGCCACGCCAATGCTGTCTAGTTATTATTCCAATTTCCAAAATGAATTGTTTTTAGTCAAATATTGGACATATTTGGGGAACAGAAAGCTAAATAGGAAATATATTTCATATATAATTGACAAACAAAATAATTTACCCCTTATATTATTGTTAGATAATTAATTTGAATTATTTGATTATATTCGGCCACAGTATCGAACTTTTGTCATGCTCCACAAGATTTAGATGAGAGAGAGAAGTAGGTAAGATAGAAATTATTGACATGGTTGTGGCCTTGTGCGCATAATTAGAAAGAAAAATAGGTATATCTATAGATAAATACTTCTCATATGTATTTATTTATAAATTTTTTATTTATTTCTTTTTGTTAAGAAAATTATGTTTTATTTAAAGAGGTGGCCATCACTCAAGGTGCTCCCTTTTATAGTCGGCCATGCTAATCCACCATTTATTTGATCATTAATAAGCTTGCAAATATGGATCAAACAAAAGGACAATTAAAAGAGCAACAACAAGGAAAATCCTACAAATATAAGAAAATACTAAAAAAGAAAAATCAAACTAATTAGAGCTAGAAGAGGGAAAAACAAAGCGATAATGCTAATATAAAGTACTACCTAAAACGACAAAAAATAAACACCCACTTTTCAGTATATATATCAAGACATTTTTAGTTTTATTTTTCCTCTTGTTGTTTGGGAAATAGCCTCAAAGCTTGTTTGATGCAACAATTTGTAGTTTTGTACTCTTTGACCTTTCTAGATTTTGCTAGGGGTGGTAGTTGTTGTGTGGTTGTTATTGTTGTTTGCTTTTTTTTTTTTTTCTTTTTCTTTTTTTTTTGGTCTTTCCAAACTCTTGCTATTTTTTATGTTAATTGCTCTTACGGACGTCTTGTGTGATTTTAGGTCTCAAATTCAACTTGAACAGCTAGTGGGGGAGCTTGGTACAGATGCTATACCGATTGTTGGTGTTATTAAAAACCTGGATGTCAACATTATTAGTAATGAAGAATTTCCAGAAGTAAAAAACTCTGCTTCTCCTGCAAAGAAGCAGGTACACGATACCATGAAAGCCTCAAAAGAAAGAAAGTCAGGTAATGTACATCCTTTCAGTAGTTGTATGTGCTTCCTTTGAGATCAATTATGTAATAGATAATGTAAATAGTAAATAGGCGACGTTGTGGGGGTTAAGATGGTATAAATTGTTTGCTAAAAATAGAGAAAAGTAGAAGTGGGTAGAACAAAATAAGAAAAGAAAAAAGTACATGGCTGTTTCCAAGTTGCAATGTTCTTTAATGTTGAGTTTGAAAGGTGGCTTGTGTGAATTGTGTGTGAGTAGTTTTGGATTGACTTCCTATTGGTTTTTTTTGAAATTCTATGTGGTCGCCCTGTACCCTGACAGATCTTTTACAGTGCAATTTATTTTATCCCTGTGTTACTTTTGTTTTTAAAATTTGGGACTAATATATCCTTCTGTGTTTGCTGTGTCAAAGATTCTTGACGTTAGCACATTTGACCATTTATTTTATAAATGAGAGAAAATATTGCAACATGAACCTTGCTCCTTTCTTTGCTGTCTCATTCGGTCATTCCTCTGCTATTCCATCTTCATGCTACCAGCCCCAGCAATGGTCTCCGTGATCAGTGGACCTTTACCATGACTTGAGAGGAAAGGAGGGGGGGGGGGGGGCACCATCCCCTACCTACTGAATAATCCATTTAGCCAATGAACCTCCGCACCGTGCTATTGTATGAAATCATTGACCCCCTTTCCTGGTGGCTGAATGTGTGCAAGGAATATGTGGGGAAAGGGTAAACGGGAGGGCGTGGGTTACAAAGGGTCTCCGGTGGCTGACTGGCTCATTGGACACTTGGATACCCATTTTCCTTGGCATATAAGTCTTATACGGGTAAGTTAACTGGAAATCTTTAATGGGGGTGGCAGCCAAAGTAGGGGAGCTTAACAAGACCTTACTTGATAATTTCTTATATATGAATCTCTCTGTTTTTATTAGTTGACACATTTCCTATTATTTTTCACATTTGTAAATTCATAATGTCGACCATTAATGTTATAAATTATCTATAAGTAAAATTGATAAAAGGTTAATATTATGAATATATACTTGGAGAAAAATCTAACAAGATCCCACATGACTTTATTTTTCCTTGTGTGTACATTACATATATAGTCAAAGGAGAGTGTGGAAATAGTGTAAAAAAAAATCAACATATGTCAAAAAAAAAAAAAAGTAACATACAAATACGGTCACTAGACCGGAGCAAACTTGAAAATTTAAATCAATCCAGGCTAGACATTCTGATTATTTTATTTTAACTTTTTTAAGTGAAGAGAACATAGAAAGTTCTTGTTTGGGCTTCTAAGGAAAACGTCTTTTTTTTATAAGTTATCTCATATATAGAAAGGTTCATCAAAGGGTCTGTTGCTATATGGTTTAGATTGTCTTCAAAATTTTCATTTAGATGCTGCCTTTAGTGAAATTATTTTCGCTTATTCAATTTGTTAATTAATTTATGTGGCTGAATCTTTGTGAGTTACAACTGACCTGACCGTGATTCACTCAAAATATGAATTTATTTGGTTTTATTAATTTTTTATTTATTATTTTTGTAATATGCAATTTTCTTATTTCAGCTTTTATTTTTTGTTGTATCCTGCATATAACTGATATGCAATTGAATATATAAAAAATTGCTACCAATTATATCACAATATAAGTGGTTTACTTAAATTCATATCTGCATAAATTTAAGTTGTTCAACTTAAAAAAGAACAAGTAATATCCATATTTTTGTAAAGGTGAAGAGCAATTGGCAGTTAGTTTCAAGTGAGATTTAAAGTTGATGTTTTAACTAAATCTTAAATTGATGTTTAAAGTGATATTTCATATTCTATTGCTACTGTATAATGAGTTAAGTTTTGGTTCAAAAGATTATCTGTTTATTTTGAAACCGAAGGAGTACATTATGATCAAGTAGGACTTGCAAATCGTATATCTTTTACTTGATGACTTAAAATTATTTTCAACAAATCATAATACTTTGATTGTATTCAAAATATGACCATTGCTTAATTTTCACAAATAATATGCCCCTGTATAAATTTTTGATATTTCTAAATTATTCTCCCTAGTGGCTTTTACTTTATTACAAGAAATACGTTGGCTACTGGGGGGTATGAACTATGGAAGCCACACTAAATAAGCTTTATCATGTAAACATTATCAAATGTGCTTATATTATATTACAAATACAGCAGCTACGGCAAGAGGCCATGGAGCCAGAGTTTTGGGTTCTCGGAGAAATCCACTTGTGCCCTTTGGTGGTCATCAAGAATCTGTGGCAGGACTATCTAAAGAGAACCCCCAGCTGCAAAATATTGCTTCTAAGCACTTTGATCCTTTTGATAAGGTAATCCTTTGTCCTTTTCTTCACCTGTTTTTTCATCCTTGGGCTTTTAAGAAGCATTTTTCTCTCCCGTGCTTTTGACTTTTTGAAAGAGATATTCTGTTTTTTTCTTAGAGACTTGTTTGGCTTGTTCAAAAACCTCCAAAATAGTCTAATTAATGATAATTTCAACTGCAGAAAAAAAAATCCAATTGTTTTTATTTTGTTGACTGTAATTGCTTCCAAAATCCTGTGTGTGTGTGTGTGTGACATTTTCCCTGCTATAGCTTATTTTATGGATTGTACAATAGAAGGTTGCGCACACCTTTATTGCATGTAGAGATGTAGGCTTTGTTCTCTTCACCTTATTCTTATCAACTTTTACTAATTCTTGTTAAAATAGATCAGATTAGACTAGGTTAGAACAGATTCAGACTAGACAAGATAAAACCAAAAACTTAATATTATAAATATAATGATTTAGGCCATAAATTAAAATCTGGCCAACCAGACCATACCAAAATTTAAAGTTCCAGATCAGAATACCTTAAAAAGGTGAAGAGAACTAATCCATATTGACGAGATTTTGAGCCCAGAGAATTGCGTTATCAAGATGACTTTAACATAGTGAAACTTTCGTAAAATTGCATAATGAGTTGATTTTAATGGAGGTTAAATAAGTTAAGGTCATACAATTTGGTTTTAGTGGTCATAATTGTTTCAGTTCAATTACTATTTAAGTCTATTGTCAATTGGCATATTATGAATATTAAATCAATATATCGGGGAAATTTTATTAGGATCAGGTTAATTCCATCAAGGTACTGTATTTTGAGTTGAGTTTGTCTGATAAAATTTGGGTATGATCAATTGTGTTTGGATCATTTTAAATTGTGCAAAGCTAAGTGCTTGGCTGCTCGCACTGTATATAATAGAAACAAGATTTTCATTTGTACTAGCACTAGTTCAGAAAGGGTTTTCCCCTTTTTAACCATTAATTTTCTTCCGTAACTTTGATCATTAGCAGGTGAAAGAGTCAAATTTTGTGGTGCCACCAACCAGCATGGCTGCTCATGCAGTTGATGATTTTATTGAGCTGGAAGCAGAAGATTATCCTGAGATGCTAGGAACTCCGAAATGTGTTGAGAATAGCTTGCCGTTTCTACTTCCTCCCCTTCCTACTGTATCACAAAATAATTATATTCAGGTTTGTTTAATGAGTTTTCTGAGTTTGAGTCTTGGACTTCTAATTGGAGCTTTTGTAATTGCATGCTTGGATTTTCTTGTCATCTGATAAGTAAATATAGCACTGGTTGTGTATAGTTCTGTTTCTACCAATGTCGAATGTTTGGACTTTGGAGCTCCTTATACCAAAATTTATTGTAATGATAAATTTTGTACTTATTTTTGACAAGTATAGTTTTGAGTTTAAGTCTTGGACTTCCTACTTATTTTTGACGATTAATGATTAATGCAGTATGAGGGTGATGACGAGAATGTTGATGTGGACGGACGTGAAGAACATGAGGAAGTGGATATAGTGTAAATGCTAGGTGATGAGATTTATATCCTCCCTTTTTTTTTTTTTTGATAACCGCTAATTTTTGATACTGCGGAACCGTGATCATTTTTTAAATAGGGTATTATCAAAATGATTTAGTGTAGTAATGTAGCCATTGCACTCAGTTTGCTTCATGAAGTATGTTAAGCTCGCAATTTGAGTCTGCTTCATGGTATGATAAGTTCATTTTTGACTACTACGAAAATACTTGCATTATGCCTTGTAGTATAAAGATTGACATTCCCTACGGATGCCCTGCTAGTCCCAAGTAGTGTTGTTTTTTCATAAGATAAATAAATGGAAAGACTGGTAAAAATAATCCCAATTTTTGCTCGTTTGCTCAAAATAATTACAACTTTGGACTAGTTTCAAATAATCCAGACTTTGGATGTCATTCGCACAAAATGGTTCCAATTGGTCACCAAACTGTTATAACATGTTAAGGTGACACGGGTTGTCTCATGAATTGTTGAAAAAAAAATTAAACAAAAAACTTAACAAAAACCTAGCCCCACCGACAACCACTGTACCCCACCAGCCACGATGACCCTTCTCGCCGCCTAAAATCCCTTGAATTAGCGCCTTGACCCTCCCTCTGGCGTTCCGGCGCTCCCCCTTATCGCCAAAACCCCATCCTGAAACCACCTTATCTAAATGCGAAAACTTTTTTTTTAAAAAAAAACCCAGCCCCACTGTACAAACCCCCCAAACAACCCTTCCACACCCTCAAAACCCTAGCGCCCAGGGTTCTGAGGGTAGGGGAGGGCAGATCGGGGGTTTTGTACGGTGAGACTGTTTTTTTTTTTTTTTTTTTTTTTTTTAAATTTTTATTATTTTTAAGTTTAGATAAGGTAATTTTGGGGCGGGGTTTTGGCGGTGAGGGGGGGGGGGGCAGCGTCAAAGCCGGTGTTGGCGCGGGGGAGTGGGGTCTGGGCACGACGATGTTAGGGTGGGGGGAGTACCTCGACGGTGGGAAAAGGGTGGCTGCCGGAAAGTTGTGGTGGGTTTTTTTTTTCTTTTAGTTTATTATTTTATTCATTAATTTTTATTTAAATCAATCATGTGGAAACACGTGTATCTTAAACCAAAAAAAAACCTCTTTAATAGGTTATCGATCACTTGGGAGCGTTAAAAGCGAACAACCCCCAAGCTTCAGATTATATAAAAATAATCCAAAGTTGGGATTATTTTAAGCGAACGTGCATAAGTTGAGATTGTTTTTACCAATTTTTACTAAATAAATTAGATGTTAATATAATGTGGTTGTAGGAGTGAGGTCAAAATCCTGAAACAAAAATGGATAACTGTTAGCTGTTGCAACAGGCTGGATATGAAAATTAGAATTAAAAAACCAAATAAAAACTGCTTTATAACAAAGGTGTAACACCCCAATAATTCTCTCTTAAAACCTATAAATACCCTTGTGGTGAATATGCTTAGCAATCATAGGAAGTGAGAATTGACATTACGATTAGGGACAAAGCAAAGTAGAGAGCCGCCAACAAGTTTTTAAGGAACTTGTAAACCGTTCACAGATCATTTAAGACAACCACGATAAGGGACAACGATAGGCAACAACGATTGACCCGTGAAGGTTACACTTCATTCATAATCCATGAGATTACTAACTCCATATGGTTCGGAACCACGAAAGGAGGCTCGGGGATAATGGTACGAAGTGAGTCATGGAGTCACATTCGCCCGTATTGGCCTCTACTCGATTCTTATAGTGAAAAGTGATTCCTGCGATCTCAAAGGCATACAAACAATGATATTCAATTTTCTCCAAACTATTATTATGCTAAATTGGTTTAATATTAATGCAACATATTATTCTAAAATATTGTGATCACTTGAATTAAACAACAAGATTAAAAAGGAACCTAAACTGGTTGTCCAAATTATCTTATTAGGCGTGATTTTCAATTACATATTCTCTTTATACATGCAATATGGTGATCATAACATTAATATTGGAAGCAATTTAACCATAATAGCGGTAGTCAAATCAAATATAAAACCTAATCATGATACTAGCAACAAGAATAAAAATAAGAGTAATTAAATGATTAACTACTCACTTTCCGCGCGTTCCTTGAATTGCTACATCATGAATAAACTGTTAGTAACTTCAATAAAAAAATATAAATTGAATAGAAATTAAATTAAATTAAATTAAATAAAAAGTAGAGTTGATTTGGTCCAAACCCTCAGTTATTTGTACCTTTCACGCCTTGGTTTAAGGACGGAACCTCGGGTTAAGTATAGACTCCTTGGAGTGCTTAGGGGAATTGTTATGGAAGAATAAGGAGGCTAAAAATTAGGTTAAAGAGGGAGAAGAGAATGATTTATTGGTGTAAGGTGAGATAGAATGATTATTGGTGCCCCGTACATCAGAAATGAGGGGGTATTTATAGAGAAAATGTGCTGAGGGAGCACACGGAACCCTAAAATGATAAAAACCCTAAAAAAAGTATCCTGCGATACGGCAAAGTGTACCGTGACATGGGAAATCCCACCTTCAAACGGGAAACTTTCCCGTGACACGGTACAAATTTGCGTGACACGGGAAATATTTAGGTTACGGGAAGGAAAACGCGTTAAGGGTTTACGCGAAAAAGACACGGAATGTCCCGTGACACGGCACAGGTACCGTGACACGGCAGTATCCACCGTGACACGGTACAGTACACCGTGTCACGGTATGGGAGACGCGAAAATTACACGGAAACAGCTCCGTGTCATGGGGAATCCCACCGTCAGACAGTGTAAATTCCCGTGACACGGTGGAAAATGCCGTGACGCGGGAGTTGTTTAGGTACGAAGAACGCAAATAGGAAACAGAATAGCCCCGCGTCACAGCAAGGGCACCGTGTCACGGGGTTTCCCACCGTCAAACGGTGCAATTTCCCGTGACACGGTGGAATTGCATTGTGCGCGATGATTCCAAGTTTTTACCCGTTTTTAAAACCATCATAACTTTTGATCCGTAACTTGGAATGAGGCAAATAATATATCATTGGAAATAATATCAAGTCTACTTTCCAACCCAATTGGAATAAAATCAAAATAATATGTAGATTTTAAGATATGACCGTTTTAGTGGAAGGGTGTCGGTTTTAGGCCGAGTTTAGTGTTTTGCTCATATCTTTTTCGTTATAGCTCGGTATTGGGCTTATGATATATGGTTGAAAAGCTTATTTAAATTCCTATCCAAAAAAATAATAATTAGATCAAAATTTTATAGGCATAAAATCAGTTTCTCTCAGTTTTGCGATGTGGACACGAAAAGTGGAAAATAGGTTATGGTTTAGGGAAATGTGCTAGAAATTGGATTGGTTCATGAAATATATTGGATAGAACATGGATTTAAGCACTCCAAAGATTAAATACTCAACTCGACCAATAATGGAGGTGAAAGGTGTTCATCAACGGGTTTGGTTTTGGGGAGACATTTTTAGGTGTCTACAACCCTGAACAAAATCCAAGAGAATTACTGACGTGCTACCGCCACGTGTTCAAACGTTAAAGCTTTATCAGAAAATAGCAGCGGAAAAACTAACTCAGTTATAATTATGTTTTAAAACCAATAACCAAAACCAAATTAAATGATACAAGTTGGAACCATTAAGGCCCTTATTCAAAACCCAACAAAAGTAGTAAATAAATAAAACCAGAGTTTAAATAAATTCAAACTTATGAAAACAAATAAACTACGAATAATAACCAACTCTCTACTCAAAATCCCACAACCTTGATGCAAAGGCTGTGTATGTAAGAACCTGTGGTTAATATGCTCCCCAATATTACAAGTGTAAAAATTGGATCGTCACAGGGTCATTGAAAGGCGAAGGCCATGACCAAAGAAAGACACACACAAAAGCACGCAATCAGCAATGCTGAGTATATACAAGCTAAGAAATAAACTAAGAAATGCCTATCATGCTACTAATAATCAAGCATAAGAATCATTAAATCATAGACTCAACACATGACTCAACTATCAAATTTATTAAGACTTCACTAGTTGATATTAACTAAGTTATTTATTTATTTCATTGGATTTAGCAATAGACAAGGTTGTCCAACGCATGTTCCATTTGGAACATCAATAAAAGAAAAACCCCATGCCTCCTTTCGGAAACATTAATAAACATCCAACGACCACGGGCGCGACTCAGTGACAGTAGTTAGTATGAGATCTCACCTAACTCCTAGTTTTGAAAAATATTTGAAATAGGAGACTCGTAGATCAGACGGCCTCGATAAAAGTACACGGCTAATACCCCGTGTACCCCAACCCCTGATTGTCATTACTCCAGAAGTGCACCAATCCAGAGTTTTATTGCTCATCCATCTTGCACTTTACGTGATTTATAGGTTTAGACTTGGTGCTGACTCATATGCAAACAATACAATCAATCCAATATCAATTCAATCAAGTAAAACAACTTTCCAATTTCAATTCTTGATTTATTAGTGACAAGCAACATTTATTATTTATTCCTTTACTACCTCGGTGTATAAACACCTTGAGTGCATAAGACACCCCAAAACCTTAACCTCGTCTTATAAGACTTGAATTTCTTCCTTTACTCATCCTGTTTGCATAATCATGAATGAGTAATAAATTAATCTTTACACCAATCACATACCTTTGCCTCTAAGCGCACCTTGCATAATTAGAGCATAAATAATACTTGCAATATAAAATAGTGCACATCATTTGAAATTCACAATGTATAACCAAACAATTTAACCCAGTCAACTCTATACATGATACTAAGTTCTCGATCCATCCTTAAACATGCACCTACAAGCAAGGTTTCGTAACTTGTACGTACCTTGAGCAAACGAATTGGTATGCCACTTTACTAACTAGAAATCACCTTCAATAAACTCCTCTCCTAAACCAAATAATAAAATCTCAATCAATACCCAATCAATCAAATTTACAGCAATACTAACTTACTTTAAAACCTTCAAAATCCAAATCAAACAACACTTTAAAACCTTCCCTTTAGTTAAAATTAAAGGCTTATATATAGTTCTTTAAATTTTCTTCATAAAAACCTTAAAATACACTCTTATACATGAAATTACAGCAAGTTTAAAGTCTAATAAAAATCTGAAAATTATATAAAAACCCCTAATAATCTCCCTTTTTAATGGGTGATTAAACCCTCTTTATAAAACATCAAAAGTAGTACTTAGAAACTATTTTCAGCACTTAAAACTTCAATAAAA